AGTACCATTGACGAGATGCTTGTTTTAGTCCATAAATGGATTTTGTCAGTTTGCAAACCATACTCTTTAAATCTCCCTGCACAAAATTTTCTGGTTGCACCATATAAATCGTCTCATCAATGTTGCCATTAAGAAACGCCGTCTTGACATCCATTTGATGAAGCTCTAAATCATAATGTGCTACAAGAGCCATGATTGTCCTAAAAGAGTCTTTCGATGAAACTGGAGAGAAAGTCTCTTTAAAATCAATCCCTTCCTTTTGGGTGTAGCCCTTAGCTATCAGACGAGCCTTATACCTTTCCACATTACCTTTAGAATCCCGTTTGGTCTTAAATATCCACTTGGAACTAATGGGTCTCATACCTTCTGGTAATGGGACAAGTTCCCAAACCTTGTTGTCTTGCATGGACTTATACTCCTCCTTCATTGCTTCAATCCACTTTTCAGAGTTAGAACCTTGCATGGCTTGACGGAAGTTAACTGGGTCATCTTCCATCATACCATTGTTTTTCTCATGTTCCTGAAGAAATACCATGTAATCATCCGAAATAACACTTCTTCTTTCTCTAGTGGATCTCCGCAAAGTTATTGGCTCATGATGCACAGATTCTTGAGTATCTTGAGTTTGTTCTTCATGAACAAGCAAATCATCTTGAGTAAGGGGTTCATTAACAATGCCTTGTGGAGGTTCCGAACTTACTTTATCAAAAGTAACTGTTTGAATCGGTTCTGGAATTGTTACCGATTCTTCCCCCAAGACAAAGTTCCTGATTTTATTCTTCCCCCCAAACTCAATATCCTCAAAGAACGTAGCAGTTCCCGTCTCAAAAATTGTCTTTAATGTGGGATCATAAAATTTATATCCCCTGGATCTTTCAGCATAACCAATAAAATAACTACTTACTGTTCGAGAGTCCAATTTCTTTTCATTTGGCTTATAAGGCCTTGCCTCAGCTGGACATCCCCACACATGGAAATGCTTCAAACTAGGTTGTCGCCCGATCCAAAGCTCATAAGGTGTTTTGGTCGTCGCTTTAGTTGGTACTCGTTCGGAATATAAGCCGTCGTCTTTAGTGCCTCTCCCCGCAGTGACTCGGTAAGGTGGAATGACAAATCATACTCCCGACCATATCTTTAAGAGTTCAATTTCGTCTTTCAGCCTACACCATTCATGCTAGGTGATCCCGGCATGGTATACCGTGGGACAATTCCACACTCCTCTAGGTACCTGGCAAAAGGTCCCGGACGCCGTTCACCCGACTCGTCAAATCTGCCATAGTACTCACCACCACAATCGGATCTAACAGACTTAATTCTTTTATTGAGTTGATTTTCAACTTCAGCTTTAAATGTTTTGAACACGTCTAGAGATTGTGACTTTTCATGTATAAGGAATAAGTATGCATATCGTGAGTAATCGCCTATGAATGATATAAAGTATTGTTGACCATTCCACGAAGGTGTAGGAAATGGCCCACAAATGTCCGTATGTATCAACTCTAAGACGTCCGTAGCTCTATATGCACCTAATCTCTTCGCTTTGGTCTGTTTGCCCTTAATGCATTCAACACAAACATCAAATTTTGTGAAGTCAATGGACTCTAAAATTCCAGTTGACACAAGTCGTTCAATTCTATTTTTAGATATGTGACCTAATCGCCTGTGCCATAATGCTTCTGAGTGAGTATCATCAATTTTACGTTTAGTACCCCGTGATTCTGTATTAAGGGTTTCATTATACGTGGTCACAGTATCAAGTAAATACAGATTATCATAAGGCAAAAGTGAACCAGGTTCCAACAATATCCGAATTAAAAGACAAACCGAACTTATTGTTTCCAAATGAACACAAATAACCTAATTTGTCCAGATAAGAAACTGAAACCAAATTCCGTCTAAATGACGGCACAACAAAAGTGTCTTTCAAATCCAAATAAAAACCAGTACTCAATAACAATTTAAAATGCCCTATAGCTTCCACCTCTACTGATTTTCCATCTCCAACATATATCCATCTTTCAGAATCAGTTGGCTTCCGGTAGCTTAGGCAACCCTTTATAGAAACACCGATGTTAGTAGTTGCACTCGAGTCTAACCACCAAGTGTTACTAGGTACTCGACGCTAAATTGACTTCGAACGGACCAAAGTAGGAAATATACTTTTGAGGATCGGAACATAATTTAAATTGGCAGATACAAAAACAATTGTAGCTGAATTAAAAAACAAGAGAAATAAATTAATTATGCTCAGATTATAAAAATAAATAATTATAAATAAAATATATATTCAAATAATGGTTTAACCCATCTTAAGACATCCAATGCACAATCAATATCAAGTCTTTGGACAGTAATATTAACTCGCTAGAGGTATCTTGTTGTAATAATCAAACATTGACAATAAAGCACGTCCAACAACAAACCAGTCTTTGGATTGATTTATCATCGACAAAGCAAATCCTTATAATTATCACATGTTTATCATTACAGGTGTGTATGTAATTCGGCCAAATATTGATCTTCCTTTGGGCTGACTAATACTCGCATGAATATACACAAACACTAACATTTAATATTTTTCACGAACTACCCAATTCAAGAGATGTTACTTTGGTAACTTCTTGACTCAATTTGCTCACAAAAATATTAAACTACCAAACAAATTAATATTTTATTTATATAATAAAATCAAATATATATACTCCTCTAGGTTAGCTAAGAACTCCTGCCATAATTTCACCATAGCTTCATGTAAAGGAGATATAAGTATTTTACTCACGTCATCTTGGTAAACTAGAATTGTTTTAGGTAAAATTACAAAGATAATAAGGGATACATAACCATTGGCAGGATATTGCCATCCTTGAAGCCCAAACGACTGCCCAATCCACCTGAGCCCTTGTACACATAGCCAATGAGAAACAAGCCTCCAATTATGAGCCCAACCGAGAAAACCGGCGAAGATTTTGATTTCGATGAAAACAATCCACCTCCGCTGTCTCCAAATTGCCGAGATGGATTCCCAGGTCGCCGTGACATCATTCAATTGTTTGTTATCACCACAATAGTACTCAGAGCAAAATCAGTATTATTGAACTTTCTCTATGCAATTGGCATTAGAGATTAGATCTGAACTTCATGCATTCTGTCTGTCCTTCACGCGTATGTATAAAGAAAAAAGAAGACAGAGAAGCAGAGACTGGGTTCGTGGGAATTTTATTTGTGCGCTGTGGGACTATGACAGATTGGAACGTGGAGGGAAACCCACTTTACTACTCTTTATCTCTTTCTCTGGATTTGGGAATTTGGGAATTTACCCCAAATTCGAAACTAGGTTTAAAATTTGGGAATTTACCCCAAATTTAAATTTAGGGTTTATGAAAATTGGAGATTATTCTCCATTTAAAATTCTGAATTAAATAGAATCTAAATTTTATTTAACGTAATTTCCAAAAAACAAACATGAATTAAGTATGAGTTGCTCTGATACCAATTGTTAGGTTAAACTGTAATTGAATATGATATTCATTCTAATGATCAAACATATATCTATAATCTCATACTGTAAACATATTATAAACTAAATGCGAAAGCGTACCTGAATTGGCCATAATGACGATATTCTTTGTAGAACACTTTTGATTTGATCTTAAGGTCTTCCACCTGAAGAGCACCTGTATTTCCCTCTTGATTTTCTTTCTTGATGGGGATAGAAAGAAAAGAACGGGACTGTAACTTTGTTCTGTTTGTGTGCTCTCAGAAGGGGATCATGACCCTTTAAATAACCAAAATTAGGTTAATTACTTAAGTTTTATTATTTTCAATTTGACCCCTCATCAAATTAGAAATTACTCTATGGTATTTACACAATCATATTTTCATGACATATCCCTTTAGCCAAAACTTTAATTTATTCAGATTACTTTATTATTTGGCTTAATAAATAATGACCCTAACACATTTAAATATGTATCATATATATACATGACCCAAATTTTGCCAACATATGTGAATCAAGAAGAAAGATTATTTGAAAATTATTTTTGATGATGCCCCGTTATAAGATAATTAGGTAAATAAGTGAGTAGTTTTGTATAAAACCAAATAATTTAATCTTTGAAAGTAAAAATAATCAGTTATGTTAAAATTAAATCTATATTAATCGATTAGATAAGTACGTAATCGATTATACGACATAAAATCATGTTTTCATAATACGTACTAATAATTGATTATGTGTCTAAATCTTTGTTTAAACATAACGCGTTAATAATCAATTATGTTGATACTTAATCAATTATATGACTATTTTCAGACTATCACTATATACAACTAATCTATTACATATTCTGTTAATAGATTATCTTAGTCGGTTATAATAGTTTTTTTTACTCTATAAAATGATGCAAGCTTTCTTTAATCATATATCTCTTTTTAGAAACAATCACAACAACAAGAAAGAACATTGTGGTTATAAAAAAAATGTGTGATTTTTGAAGATCAAATTCAAAGAAAAAGTTATTTAACTATAAGATGTAATGTTCTATGAATTTAAGGTGAAATCATTTTTTATTTTTTTCTTATGAATCTTGTATTTAATTTTGATATATGTGAGACTAACTACATAAGTTTAACTTAAAAATAGTAAAGAGAAACATTTTTAAGTATTGTGATATTGATTAAAAGTTACTGTTAAGTCAAGATTATTAGATTAAGTTATAATAATATGTTTTAATAAAAAATTTCAAATTAAAATTATTTGGTTAAAACTAGATATAAATTAAAAAAGAATTGAACCAATATAAATTCTTGACTTCTTGTATTCTTCTCCTTGTCTTCATATTCTTATTTTCTTAATACTAATATAATTTTTTTATATTTAATTATCAACAAATTTTTTTAATAATTGATTAGAATGGAAAAGTTTTTGAAGATCGAATCCATCCCCTCTTGCATATATGTTACGTGATTAACATTTTTACAACAGTGGAAGAATTACTTCACGAAACAATGGTCTGATCCTGTGGAACAGTTTGCATACCACCACCATAGAGCAACGACTTCACATATTCTTCTAGCTTGGATGGACTATTTGTGTCATAACTGTACATGAGAGGAACCATCCGAGCAGCATTGAGACAAATTTTGGTGAAAGATGATGGTAACGAATTTGCATCTCTGAGACATTCTTGGTTGAGTCGTTTCCATGCATCAGAAATCAATTCACTCACATGCTCTCGTGCCTGTTCAATGGAAACTCCAGGGTGCTCCTTCATGAAGCAGTCCAAATACGACCCATCATTGCCATCATCGTTAACCTCCTGCATTATTGTTTTATTTTATGTTGTAAGTAAATAATAAAATTAACAAAGATTCAAAGGTGCTAATATGTTGATGCATATGTTTGAATGAATGATGTTAACTGATCCGAGTTGTACATCTTCAAAATGATAATTAATTTGTGGTCCAGATTCCACATAATTTAAGTAGAACGTTGACGTAAGATATAGTTTGTTTTCTTCCTACCCGGTCCCCCTCTAGGTCATCACACAACCTTAGAATGGTGGCTGTTGTTGATATCAGAGCTGGGAATTCATCCATTAGAGTGGCTGTTTCCTCCGTTATTCCCTCACCCATGAAAAAGAATAAGTGCACAAGGATCATATGCACCCCAGTGCTCACTATCCCATTCTTCAAGTACTCCTCCGCCTTCGGGACGTACCCTGATCCAAACCATTTTGCTTCTTGCAGAAAAGCATTCAAGAGCCTTACCCACTGTCTCAGCCAAATTATAATAACAAACATCATTAATTCTTTAAGGATGATTAATGAAAATAACCATTTTGATTAATCTATGTTTGACCATAAAGAGCATATATATACTTGTACGTAACAATTGTAGACTTTTAAATGAGATTGTACCGATTTTACTAAGGTGGTTATAGGGTTCCATCCGTGTTTGATGTTGATCTTGAAAGCAAATTCGTTAGTTATGCCATAAAGAGCCCTAAAACACCCTTTCATGTGGTTTGGTAATTGCTCAATGGCTGCCATGTCCCACCTGCGTATATCCAAACAAACTATTCTTTAGAGAATAACCAAAGGTTCTTCTTCTCCTTTCATTGTACCATGAAAAGGATGCGTGACAGTATTGTAAAACTTCAAAAGTTATAAGGTTTTATTTCAAGAAACTATCTATAAAATAAAAATTAAACTCAGTTTTTTATTTTATGACACTACTATGTAGCACAACAAATATTATAAAATTAGCTTATCTATTACCTCTTGACAGCTTCGGTAAAGAGAGTAAGTTCATCAATACTTGCACGAAAATCAAATAGATCATCAATGATGTAGATTAGGGAGAGTGGTTTTGTGAGCTCAATCCTTTCTTCAGAGAATCGTGGATCTGGGAGGCATGCCATGGGCCACAAGTACCATTTGATTGGTTCATCTCTAGCGAACTTCAACTCATTTGCCAGACCTAGCTCTTTCCACCATCTATAATTTAAGATAGACAAGTTACTGTACTCCCCTAATACGTAGTCATCATCATTACTATTATACAGAGATGATATAATGAGCTGATATAATGACAACAGTTTGAAACAAACATCTCCAAAAACAACTCAATTTATTAAAATAAATTGAAATAATAACAATAAAAGAATTTAATAAAAATAAAAATAATTTAAAATTATTATTATAATATTAAAACCAGTTGTAGATCCGATATTTGAGAAAATACAGTTCTCAAAATAGTTTTTTCCTATTATATATGACCCTGAATTATATTAGCTGCAACTCACTTGGAAACTGCAAGAATCTCCTTCAGATGCAACGAGGTAACTATTTCAGTCTCTATTTTGGATAATTCTCTTAAAGAGTTTGTCAATCCGGTCTTTTGTAACTGCAAAGGGTTTGTCGGTGTGAACCTTGACAAGCTTTTATGAATAGGATACCTTAATGAATCTGCCACAACTTTCACTTGAGCATGGTCGTGAAATCCAGACAACCACATAGTTAGATAATGGCGGCAAGATTTCTCTGCCTCTTGAAGATAATGTTCCCCTTCTATGCTTAATTGAGAGGCTTCAAACAAGGCTATTAACCCGTTTATGTCTTTACATAATGTTAGTTTGAGCTTGCCTTTATTGTCCAAGAACTTATCAAATATATCTGTAAGATACAGCAAACAATATTTTAAACATACTTATGTCATTACAAAAGAAATTTCAAACATTGGTATTAAAATTTCTCTGTGGTTTTTCGGATGAATGTTAAAATGTTAATATAAATATTATGAGTTAATATGTTTTATATAGCCACAAAAATTAGCTCATCATTTTGAGGCAGCTAGGCACACAAACCTGCATGGATGTAATACCCTTCTTGTCTTAACAGACGAAATTGAAGTGCAACTTCTGACAGTTCTCCATAATCATTTCCTCGATGGCTGTTAACTCTAAGCATCAGTTGCCTCCTTTTAAGAATTGCTTCAATTTCCTCTTGAAAATGGTGCTCAATGCCTAATCTTTGAATGGAGTCTACCATAGATAAGCCATGGTCTGCACTTTGTCTTGCCTTGCCAAGTTCCCCCTTAACTTCCTCCAACGTTTTAGCATGTCTTATTTGAAGATCATCCTGAAAGATTAATATTGGAAGGGTCAGCTAACTAACTACAAATAAATTCAAATGCCCAAATATAAAGCATAAATAAAGAGAGATAGTGAACCTGACCCTGAATTTTCCACTTTCAGAAATATGGATATTTGGCTTCAATGCAATAGTAAAACGGTTTTTACTAGAGCAGGAATGCTGAGGTATGAGCTTCACAGCCAGAATAGCTGAGTATTTGTTTGGAGAAAATATAGGGTGATTTGGTGAAGCAAAAATAGAGTGAACGAAAGCCATAGGTGTAGTATATATCAAGGTTTGGTGTTGTTGAAAAAGATGAATGACAGAGCATGAGAGGAATGCAGAACATAATGAGTTTTACTCCATTTATAAGGTTTCGCGTGCATGGAGTGATGGCCCACTATTTATTGACTGACCATGAGAAACATGCATACGGCAATAGGTTCGTAAACTCTGATGTCATTTTGTACGTAACTTTAAGAATTTGTATCGTGTTGAACTTTCTCATTTTTAAGTATGAATTTAGTTCTATTTCTAATTGAAGTTAATTAAACTTCACTTTTATTATATAGTAATATAAATATTATAAGGCCTAGTGCAATTTTTGTTCCCTCACTTTACAATCCTGCAACTTTGATTTCTTTCCGAACTTTTCAATTATATATTTAACAATTTTTAGTTACGTGCTATCAAAACGATGTGTGTTCCTTCACATACATATTACGAAACTTAATGAAAAGTTTCATTAGAATGCACAGCAAATTTATCATCGATTAGCACAATTGATAAGTGGATTTATAAAAATAGAAAAAGGAAGAAAAAGAGAATAAAAAATTAATTTGCTTAAATCGATGGTGAAAAAATAAAAAATAAAAAAATAAAAGTGATATAATTAATTAAAAAAATAAATAAAATTACAATATAATTGATTATATATAAAAATATTTTATATGTTTTTATACATAACTTATGTAAAAGATATAATTATAAAATATTATTTTATTTATTCTTTCGTATTTTTTATAAAAGAAAGGAAAAAAATAAATTTAAATATTGAAAAATGAAAATAAAAACTATTATTGATTGAAAAGTCAAATTTGTTGTATCTTTGCCCATCGACAAATCCATAGTAGGAGACCGCCATTTATTGTCACATCAATATATATAATTCATTATTTAAAGAAAAACAAATTATAATTGTTATTCAGAAATAATATTTGATTCCTTTATAATCAAATATATTAACTAAAGGGGAATTTGATAGAAAATATATATTTTGTTTTAAAAATATCTGAAATTAAGAATTCTTTTTATGTTTGATTTTTTTTTAATAAAACTCCAAAAATATAATCTTTTGAAAAAATAAAAATCGTTTTTAATAAAAACTTCATTTTTACTTATATTTTGACTCTTTATTATGGTAAATACTTTAACATTTTCCTTTGAAAATGTCATAAATACATTTTTATTCCAAAATATAATTATAATTAACTACTTCTAGAAATATTTATGACTCTATTACCATATACCCCTACCCCTACTTTTTTTTGTTTGTCTACTTTTGACTTGTTATCTTTTAGGCTCCATCTTTTTCTTTACTTATAATCATTCTCATTTACGTTACATAATAACAGTAATAATATTTTAAATTTTGTTATTTTTTTTCTTTCCTTGTTTTCGTCTCTTCTTCCTTTCACAATGAGTAGTCATAAATTTGTTATGGTATCACTACTACAAAATATGTTTTCAACGTCGCCATTTAACATCCGTTAAAGTCTGAACCAACGTTAAATATACTTTCAACGTCGGTTGGTTAAAAACGACGTTGAAAGTTGAATGTTGGACACATTCTACGTCGGTTCTTAGTCAACCGACATAGAAAGCACTTTCCACGTTGGTTCTAGATGAACCAACGTTGAAAGTCTTTTAATTTACACATTCAACGTCGGTTCATCTAGGAACCGACGTTGAATGTGTTTTCATCCAAAATTTCTCTTAAGTTAAAGAATTGTCATTGACGAGATTCAAACCCAGTATTTTAGAGTTGAAAGTCAATACTCCAACCACTAAACTACCGTAATTGTAATAAATATATATCCATGTAAATATAACCCCTAAACTACTGTAATTGTAATAAATATATATCCATGTAAATATATATTTATTTATATATATTTTCCACTAAACTACTGTAATTGTCCGATAATAATTTACAAATTAATTATATTTATATACAAATAAATATATATCCATGTAAATATATATTTATTTATATTTTCTGGAAAGTGTTTTTATTTTTTTCAGCCAAAAATTACTGTAATTGTAATAAATATATATCCATGTAAATATATATTTATTTATATATATTTTCCACTAAACTACTGTAATTGTCCGATAATAATTTACAAATTAATTATATTTATATACAAATAAATATATATCCATGTAAATATATATTTATTTATATTTTCCGGAAAGTGTTTTTATTTTTTTCAGCCAAAAATTATCGTAATTGTAATAAATATATATCCATGTAAATATATATTTATTTATATATATTTTCCACTAAACTACTGTAATTGTCCGATAATAATTTATAAATTAATTATATTTATATACAAATAAATATATATCCATGTAAATATATATTTATTTATATTTTCTGGAAAGTGTTTTTATTTTTTTCAGCCAAAAATTATTGTAATTGTAATAAATATATATCCATGTAAATATATATTTATTTATATATATTTTCCACTAAACTACTGTAATTGTCCGATAATAATTTACAAATTAATTATATTTATATACAAATAAATATATATCCATGTAAATATATATTTATTTATATTTTCCGGAAAGTGTTTTTATTTTTTTTCAGCCAAAAATTTACTTAAGTTAGAGAATTGTCATCGACGAGATTTGAACCCAGTATTTTAGAGTTGAAAGTTGATACTCCAACCACTAAACTACTGTAATTTTCCGATAATAACTTACAAATAAATTATATTTATATACAAATAAATATATATCCATGTAAATATATAAATATAGAATATATAAATACAAATATATTTATATTTTTTGATATATTTATATATATATATATATATATATATATATTTGTATATAAATATAATTTATTTGTAAGTTACTATCAAAAAATTCCGATAGTTTAGTGGTTGGAGTATCAACCTCCAATACTAAGGTATCGGGTTCAAATCTCGTCGATAACAAAAAATTAATTTGGTAATGCTTTAAACCTCAAAAAAATATGATAAATAAAAAAAATATATTATAAAAGATTGGGGGGATTTCTAGATAAATAGAGAGGGGTTGGAAATAAATAAAAATTTTTGATTTGAAAGTCGGGACTTTCAACGTCGGTTCAGTACCGCCGTTGAATGCCTTCCAGAACCGACGTGGAAAACCTTATTTGTAGTAGTGTATTAGAGTGGGTTTGACCTGCTCTACTCCCCTACTGATCTCCCTTTCTCTTGTTCTCTCTTTTCCTTCTTTATTTGATTTTGTGGTTTTTGTTTCTATTTCTTCTTTCTTTTGCATTTCTTTCCTTCTCTTATTCAATGGATGAGTCATAGAATCCCTCTAGCCAATAATTTTTACATATAGGATAAAGTCCAAGGGCAATTCTAGTTACACCTCAACTTGATGATTCAAACTATCATACATGGAGTTGATCAATGAAGCAGGCATTGATGTCTAAAAATAAGTTTAGGTTCGTTAGTGGTGAAATCACTAAACCAGCACGTAGTGATCAATTATACGATGCTTGAAAATGCTACAATATTATGATGTGTCTTGGATAACGCAAACATTGACGTCTCAAATAGCTCAAAACATTGTCTATATTGATAACGACAAAGACTTGTGGGATGAGCTTCAAGAAAGGTTTTCTAAGAGTAATCATTTCTGTGTATCAGATTTGCTTCAAGAAATCAATTCCATTAAGCAAGGAGAAAGAGCTGTTACAAATTATACTAACTCAAAGATCATGTGGGAAGAATTGGACTCCTTGCGTCTTATTCCTAATTGTATTTGTAAGAAATGTAGTTGTAATATTGACAAAATCATCTCTATCTATAGAAAATCTGAGCGCACAATGTATTTCTTAAAAGGATTAGAAAATATCTACAGCACAGTCAAAACGCAAATTTTGCTTAGGGACCTGATTTCAACCATTAAGTGTGTATTCTCTATGGTTCTTCAACAAGAGAGGCAGTTGAACGAAAACATCAATATTGAGAAAGTTCTGTTGGAAAAATAATAATAATAATAATAATAATAATAATAATAATAATAATAATAATAATAATAATCCTAATTTTGATTCTAACGATCAAACATAAACATAATCCCATACCGATAAACATGTTAGTAAGCTGAATGCGAAAGCATACTCGAATTAGCCATAACGATGATGTCTTTGTAGAGCACTATATTGATCTTATGGTCTTCCACTCGAAGAGCACTCGTATTTCCCTCTTGATTTTCTCTCTTGATGGGGATAGAAAGAAAGGAGCGAGATTGATACTTACGTTTTGTGTGTGTGCTCCCAGAAGGGGACCATGACCCTTTAGATAACCAAAATTAGGTTAATTACTTAAGTTTTAGTATTTCCAATTTGGCCCCTCATCAAATTAGAAATTGCTCTATGGTCTCTACACAATTTTATTTTCATGACATATGCCTTTAGCCAAAACTTTAATTTAGTCAGATCACTTTATTATTTTGCTTAATAAATAATGGCCCTAACACATTTAAATTATGTATCATATATATACATGACCCAAATTTTACCAACAATCTCCCACTGGTCACAAATATATATGTCCTTACAACCTTACAAATGTGTTAGACTTTATGAGCTCAAAATTGCCATTATATTCCTTTAGCATACTCCAAAAGTCTTGTCCATTAATCATATCAGGATATAGAACCAAACCAACTTTTCATTGCATCATCGCAATTAAAACCAACAATGATTACTCATCCTAACATAACCAAATGACATGGATTCATCATGAAATGTGTAGCTTGAAAAATTACGTGAAGGTGATCTGTACACGTCTATTTTCAATTGGTCCAAACTTTAACTTATTGGGATCGATATAATATCCTTAATGTACAAAGTGTAATGAATGAACGAAAAAACCGCATATCTATAGATAACCAAATATGTCCAAAAATCAATGTATACATATATGAAATTAAACATAGAACATAAAATATATGAAAGTGACTAACTCCCACTAAAC